TTAAAATGTGCTCCCCCCGGATTTACCCAGCAAATTTTCCCCCAGGGATGTGTTCTAGCACAACTTTTTTTTCTCCTTGCTATTAATGATTTGGCCTCTAGTCTTCCATCAAATATTTGGTCATCACCCTTTTGTTGATGACTTTGCTATTGCCTGTGCAGGCGCTGACTGTCACCTCATTACAGTTTCTCTCCAACATGCAGTCAACCGTGTTTCCAATTGGGCCACCACACGTGGGTTTAAATTTTCCAGCACTAAAACCCACCAAATTACTTTCACTAGACGCTCTGTCATCTCCGATCATCCTTTTGTACCTCTATGGCTCCCGTATCCTGAACGTGATACATCAAGTTTCTGGGCCTCTCATTTGATCGTAGGTTTATCCTGGAAAACCCAAAATTACCTCTCTTGAAGGCAACTTGTCAACCCCGGCTGAACCCTTTCTTAAAACCCTTGCTCATCTTTCATGGGGAGCTGATCGTCGAACCCTCTTCGCCTACATTCCCCCTTATTTTCTTAACTGATTATGGTGACCAGACCCTATTCAGCGGCATCTCCGCTACTCTCTCTAGCCTTAACCCATTCATCACCAAGGATTACGTTATGCTTGGTGTTTTCGCTCTTCCCGTTGAGAGCCTCTATGCAGAGGCGAACTTCATCCTATCTATCCCATGATCCCCCATTGCCTGCCTACTATGTACGCTCTCATGATCTCCGCAATCCTTCCATTTATAGAATGGTAAACTGATATTAGTAGACATTCTTTATTTTTTCGCCGCCCCTGTTTACTCCGTCCCTTCTCTCTTCGCCTTCATTCGCTCGTCTTCTCTTCAACTACCACCTTTCTATGTACATGTAGAAATCTCACTTTTCCCACCCCCCTGGAATTTTCCAGCTGTTCGAGTCTGTTCTTTCTCCCTCCCTTGCTCGAAAGCCCAACTTCCTACGGTCGCTTCCCGCTCTCTTTTTCTTGACCACTTTCACTCTCATTCTCATGCCATTGCTGTGTACACAGATGGCTCTAATCTTCTGAGGGCGTAGGTTTCCCGCAGCAGTGTTTCCGGACAGCGTCGTACAAGGGCATTTACTATCTTCGCTTTATTTTTAACTGGTAAATTAATGCCATCCTTACAGCACTTATCCGTATTGCATCTATGCCTGTGTCATCATTTGGGTTGTCTCAGACCCCCTTTAGTGCTTTACAGGCTATAAAAAAAATTTGATACACCTCACCCCCTTTGTCCTCCGTATCCAACTTTTGGGTACGCCCCCATCTTTACCAAGCATAAAGATATTGTTTTTGTTGGGTCCCTGGTCATTTGACGTACAGGGCAATGAACAGGCAGACACGCTGCGCGTCAGCAGTACATGACCTACCAGTTTTCTTATAGAGGTATTCCATTTATGGACTATTTTACTGCAGTATCTTCCCACCTTCACACTCGTTGGCACAACGTTGGTCTACTAATGCTCGCAACTAACTTCAATCTATTAAACTGAGTATAGGTTACTGGCCGTCTTCTTATCACCAGTGTCGAGGTTGGGGGACTACTCTCTCCTGTCTTCGCATTGGCCATACTCGTCTTACTCATGGATATTTCAGGAGAGAGGCGTCTTGCTCCTCTCTGTGAGAATTGCCAAGCTCCATTATCAGTCAGCCCCCATTCTGTTGGACTGCCCACTTTATCAACGAGCATGCAGAATTTACCTCTGTCGTCGTCTTCGCTCCGCTGCTCTCTCTTTACCTTCCCTTCTCGCTGATGGACCCACCTTTCATCCGGACTCTCTCATTGACTTTTTGACAACAACTGACTTACTTCACAAATTCTGATACCTTCAGCCCTTTCTACTTCAATCTCTTGCTACCCTCTACCCCCGTACTATCCCCTGCCCCGCTGTTTTCTGTAACCACCTGATCATCCCTCCTCCCTTCTGCCATCCAATACCCTCGCTTCCTTCCCTACCCTGCAGCACTGTATAGCCCTTGTGGCTTAGCGTTTCTTTTTGATTATAATAATAATCCAAGCTGAAGGTGTCCCCCCAGGCATGTGTCATGAGCACCACACTTAACTCCTTGCTATAAATGATCTGGCATCTATTATTCCAGCTAATATTTGGTCTTCACACCATGTTGATGACTGCTGTAGCTTGTGAAGGCGCTAACTGTTGCCTCATTGCAGTTTCTCTCCAGCATGCGGTCAACCGTGTTTGCAATGGGGTCATTGCTCATGGGTTAAAATTTTATAATACTAAAACACACCAAATTGCTTTCACTAGATGTTCTAACGTCACAGATAAACCATTGTACCTGTATGGTTCGGCTATCCCAAAACATGACACTGTCTTGGCCTTGTTTGACTGTTGGTTATCCTGGAAACCTCACATTACCTCCTTGGAGGCAACTTGTCGTAGCCAGCTGAACCTCTTTAAAAACCCTCACTCATCTTTCATGGGGGGAACCCTGAGCATCAAACTCTCCTTCGACTGCATTCCTCCCTAATTTTATCAGAACTAGATTGTGGTCGTATTCAGCGGCCTCTCCTGCAACCCTTTTAACCTTGATCCTGTCCACCAGGGATTACTTTTTATGCCTTAGTGCTTTTCACTCAACCTGCAAAAAGCCTGTATGCAGAGGTGAATATTCCATCCTCAACGATCGCCGTGATGCTCATTGCCTCCGCTATTTTGTTCACTCTCATGACCTCCGCAGTCCTTCCATATACGAATAGAATAGTAACATGTTAGTAGAGGTTTATTGTTTGTTCGTTGTCTCTGTTTACTCCATTCCTTTTCTCTTTGTCTACATTTGCCCATCTTCTCTAAAGATGACACCTTTATGTGTTCATGTAGCATCTAAATTTCCCTTCCCCCTTGGGAGGTTCCAACAGTTCGTGTTTGTTCTTCCCTACTTCCATGCACAAAAGGTTAAATGCCTACAGTTGCTTCTCGATCCTTTTTTCTCAACCACTTCTCGTCTCTTTCTCATGCCACTGCAGTTTATACTGATGGTTCCAAATCCTTTGATGGTGTCAGGTTTGCAGCAGCATTCCCAGTGTGTTGTGCCAAGTCATTTTAGACTTGGCTAGCATTTTCACAACTGAACTCTATGCAGTTCTCATAACAATTACACACTATTCAGTCCTACCTCAACATTTGTGGTCTAGTTTCACACTCCTTTATTGCTTTGCAAGGTATCAAAAAATGTAATTTTCTTGTTCTGTAGTTCATGTACAACTGATTTTGCTAGAGATGCTACACAACCAAAGAAATCATTTTCTGCTGGGTCCCTGGTCATGATGTTCAGGGCAATGAGCAGTGTGGTTAGCTGTACACAACCTTCCCATTTCATATAGGGGCATTCCATTATCAGACTATTTTACTGTAATCTCTAGCCACCTTCACAACAACAATAGTCTGAGTTGACTCGTAACAAATTATGTCCTATCAAGTCGTGTTTAGGATCCTGGTCATATCATTGATGATGTGGTCGGGAGACTACTATCTCTCGTCTTCACATCGGGTACACGTCACACTCGTGGGTATTTCGTGGAGAGGCATCCAGTTCCACTCTCCGAATTATCAGGTTTCAATTTCAGTTTGCCATATTCTCTTGGCCTATCTTATCAGCAAGCAAAGATAATTTACCTTTAATATCATCACCGCTCAAACACACTTGCATTATTTTCCGTCCTTGCTGATGGCTCCACCTTTGATATAGACCTCTGACTTTTTGACAGCAACAGATTTATTACACAACCTTTGCTTATACATGCAATTCCTTTGGCACTCCTCACCACCCTTACTATACTTCTGCTATACTCTCCACCTTCACTAGTTTCAGATCAAGCACATTAAACCATTAGCACACCCTACCCTGCAGCACTATTACCCTTGTGGGTTTAGTGCTTAGTTTTGATTATAATATCAGTCGCTGTCCTGCCAGAGACAGCGATACAACAGTTCAAAAACTGATACATCTCCACTTCAGAGTGCAGGCACTTGTGCAGGCACTTGTGCAGGCACTTGTGCAGTCCAATAAAGTTGATCATAAAGTTGCATATTAGATGAATCAATGATTTTAAAAGGATTAAGAATATTACTGCTGAAAAAGTCACTTTATTAACATACATACCCAGTAGGCTTAATACATATGAAAAATTTTTTTACATCACTGTATAAACCCTAAAGTGCATTTTTTATTACTTCAATAATAATTCCATTGAGAATTTTTGTTTTGATTTCTTCCCAATGCCAATTTTCTCAAGTTAACAAGTTTACATAAAGAAAACAGTTTACTTTCCATCTGAAATGTCTTTAAAGTTACATTCCTCACTAAAACAAAAGAATTATTAATTTTCTTAAAAGAAATAAAGTAACCATCTCAAATTATAAGTATTAAATGTGCCTATATGTTAATATCTTTCACACACACACACACATACAGAATTCTGCTGTGTTTAGGTGTTATAATGAACATGGAGATGACTAACAGTAGATAAAAAATAATTTACTTAACCCATGATAGGGCAACACAATGACCTCCTTAGTGCTCTAACTCCAGAACACAATCTTCACAAAATCTTAGTTACTCATTTCAAGGGAATTCCCTTGATGTATTCATTTTCCTAAATTACAGAAATGACACAAATTATAGATGTAAGATTTTAATTTTTATAAACCTATGAATGGAAAATGCACATAAAATGTTAAAGCAGTAGAGAAAGTCAAAAAAAAAAAAAATGTTCTGGCAAAAAAGTAATTCAAGAAACACCACATTTAATACCACATGACTCACAGAGTCCATGAATCTGAATACTTGTTAACATTTCTGTGAATTAATAGCTTCTACCAAGGGTGTACTCTGATGGGAAGGCCAGCTTGTAGCTCCCTGTACCACTCCATGTAGGAAGTGTACCAGCAATAGGGATGATATTCCATGAAAGTGTCAGACTCACATTATTGTGACCCCTGTTAATGAAAGAAATTAAATTAGAATATTGCCTACACTCTAAAAACAAAGCATTTTTGAGTTCAGTGTACAGTAGACCCCCGGTTTTCGTAATTAATCCGTTCTAGAAGGTCAGCCGAAGTGGACGAAAACCGAAGTAATATTTCCCATAAGAAATAAATACGAAGTGGGCGAAAACCGAAGTAATATTTCCCATAAGAAATAAATAATGTAAATCCAAGGAGCTGCCAGTAATCACCGGCTCTTCAACACGCAAGTTATACTTTTGTATCAGTCAAATCACATATTACTCGGGTAGATAATTTCCAGTAGATCCTTCATGTGTTAGCTCAAATCACCGACCAGTATGTTTTAAATAAGTGACCCACTGATCAGAGCAGATCGACTGGTCCGGACCCTTGACTGGTCCGAACCCTTGACTGGTCCGAACCCGGGACTGGTCCGAACCCTTGACTGGTCCGAACCCTGGACTGGTTTCAAACGGTTTTCGTTGTGCACCACCTAGCAGGTTATTAATAGAATATTCAAGAGGTTGCTAGTAGAATTGCAGTAAATCAGCCATTCAAATCATTATGAAGCTGTGTGTAGTCTGTGGTCAGTCAAACAAACGGGCTTCCACATGCATAAATTGTCATTTCTGTGGAAATTGGTGTCACGCCCCTTGTGCAGATATCCAAGAACTAGCTACAAGCAGTATTAAAACAGGGAAGTGTTTTTGGGTATGCCCAAATGAGATAAATCTGTGGACTAAAATCACAAGGGTATTAAAAGAGGTCAACATCAAAGCTGGTTTCATAGAAAACCTGGAAGCTTTCTACAACAGATGGGAACATAAAAAGTCCGGGCTGAATGGTACTGCCCTTGATACTGGCCATGTAGTCAGAAACTGTAAGGCTGGAGATGATGTCCTGGTAGTCAGTAAATGGGGGGCTGATAGTGCTGTCCTGGGAGACAGTAATGGGGAAGCTGGAGGTGCTGTCCTGGGAGACAGTAATGGTGAAGCTGGAGGTGCTGTCCTGGGAGACAGTAATGGTGAAGCTGGAGATGCTGTCCTGGGAGACAGTAATGGGAAGCTGGAGATGCTGTCCTGGGAGACAGTAATGGTGAAGCTGGAGATTTTGTCCAGGTATGTCGGGAATTATACGCAGGAAGGAATACATATAAATGACCCCATAGGGGACAGGAGCCATAGTAGGGAAACAAGTGTAGTCAAAGATAAGATAAAACCAATATTGCAAACTAGAAATACCGCAGGAATAGCAAACAAGAGGACTCCACTAGCAATAGTGAGGATATATTACCAAAAAAAAAATGGTGGGAGCTCCATTGTTGGTGCTAGGGGAGTAGAAGTAAGACAGGGAAACATGCACCAACGGGGAATACAGTCACAGAAACCCAAGGCAAACGGAAACCAAGCCTGTGCACATACTATGCACCGGTATCTGCTGGCATGGGAAATCTGGAAAAACAGAGGGGACGTGCAACTATGACCACCCTAGGAAATGCCATGCCATATGACAACAGGAAAATGCAAACTCCCTTCCTTAAGCTTTTTCACCCTGAACTGTGTACCTCTTCAGTACAGGAAAGACTGTGCTATAATTTAAAATTGCCAGGCATACCATCAAAAGGGGGACAAAAAGATACAAAACATCCAGGCCATGGAAAACCTAGGTAGCCACCAGCCACTCAAGAGGGAGAGGTTTTTTAGTGCCAGGAAGGAAAAAAAACGGGCAGGAAATGGCAGAAATCGTACACCAAATCCAGTCATTCCTGGAGTGGAACCACAGTCGATGGCCTCCACTCCAAACCAACAGATACAGAACTAATGCCGGAAAAAAAATCCCCCCCAGTACCAACAATACCACCAGTCCGATAACATTTTTCTTTGCAAATATACGGGGTCTAAAGCCAGCAACAAAAAACAAAATACCTTTCATCCGTGGACTGCTTGCAGAGGCAAAGGCAATGTTCGCGGCTTTCACTGAGACCCACATAAAGGATCACTTGGAACAACGAAAAAATGGATCCCAGGTTACAACCTATACAGATGTGACAGAGTGAACAGGCAAAAGGGGGGGTTGGCCTGTACATTCCCGAGTCACTTGTTTGCACAGAACTGCTAAATGCCTAAAAATGAGTAGTGGAAGTTTTAGCAGAAAAGGTCGAGAACCAAAACCTAGTCATTGTGATAGTCTACAAGCCTCCGATGCAACATCCCAGCAATTCCAGGAACAGCTGTTAAAAATTAAACCACTGTCTGGAAAACCTTCCAGCTCCTGCACCCAACATCTTGCTCCTGGGGGATTTCAACTTAAAGGGCACCTAAAATGGAGGAATATAGCAAATAATATTGTTGCAGTAATAACACCAGGGGGCAGCTCTGATGAAAACTCACACTCACGCGAGCTTTTAAATCTCTGCAAAAAAATTCAATTTAAACCAGCAAATAATAGAGCCTACTAGACTGGAGAAATACACTAGACCTCATCTTCACTAACAATGATGATCTGATAAGAAATATCACCATATCAAAAACAAAAATACTCAGATCACAACATAATTGAGGTTCAGTCATGTATGCGCGGAGCCCCAGACCGACATAATGAGATTATCACGAGGGAGCATTCACCAAATCAACTTCAATAACAAAAACAAAGTGGGACCAAGTAAACCAAGTCCTAACCGATATAAGCTGGGAAGATATACTAAAACAACACAGACCCCAACTTATGCCTAAACAGATTAACTCGGTGGCACTCGATGTATGCAAAAAGGCTTATTCCTCTAAGAAAAGGGAGGAGTAGATGTAAAAAAGAAAGAGACAGGCGCTCCTTTAAAAGCGACGGAAAAAATAACAGAGCGGCTAAAAGAGGTCAATATATCTGAAATGCGTAGAGAGACACTGGTCAGAGAAATAGCAAGCATCGAACTTAAGCTAAAAGAATCCTTTAGGATCAGGAATCGCGGGAAGAACTAAAAGCCATAAATGAAATCGAAAGAAACCCAAAGTATTCTTCTCCTATGCCAAATCAAAATCGAGAACAACATCCATATTGGGCCCCTACTTAAACAAGAAGGGTCCTACACAGATGACAGCAAGGAAAAGAGTGAGCTACTCAAGTCCCAATATGACTCAGTTTTTAGCAAGCCGCTAACCAGACTGAGAGTCGAAGATCAAAATGAATTTTTTATGAGAGAAAACCACAAAATTTTGATTAACACAACCTATCCGATGTTATCCTGACGCCAAATGACTTCGAACAGGGGATAAAAAGACATGCCCATCACTCTGCCCCAGGGGCCAGACTCAAAGGAACTCTGTGTTTTATCAAGAACTGCAAGAAGCCCCTATCACGAGCCTTTTCCATCCTATGGGGAGGGAGCATGGACATGGGGGTCGTCCCTCAGTTACTAAAAACAACAGACATAGCCCCACTCCACAAAGGGGGCAGTAAAGCAACAGCAAAGAACTACAGACCAATAGCACTAACATCCCATATCATAAAAATCTTTGAAAGGGGCCTAAGAAGCAAGATCACCACGCATCTAGAAACCCATCAGTTACACAACCCAGGGCAACATGGGTTAGAACAGGTCGCTCCTGTCCCGTCTCAACTATTGAACCACTACGACAAGGTCCTAAATGCACTAGAAGACAAAAAGAATGCAGATTAATATATACAGACTTTGCAAAAGCCTTCGACAAGTGTGACCATGGCGTAATAGCGCACAAAATGCGTGCTAAAGGAATAACAGGAAAAGTCGGTCGATGGATCTATAATTTCCTCACAAAACAGAACACAGAGAGTAGTCGTCAACAGAGTAAAGTCCGAGGCAGCTACGGTGAAAAGCTCTGTTCCACAAGGCACAGTACTCGCTCCCATCTTGTTCCTCATCCTTATATCCGACATAGACAAGGATGTCAGCCACAGCACCGTGTCTTCCTTTGCAGATGACACCCGAATCTGCATGACATTTGTCTTCCATTGCAGACACTGCAAAGCTCCAGGCAGACATCAACCAAATCTTTCAGTGGGCTGCAGAAAACAATATGAAGTTCAACGATGAGAAATTTCAATTACTCAGATATGGTAAACATGAGGAAATTAAATCTTCATCAGAGTACAAAACAAATTCTGGCCACAAAATAGAGCGAAACACCAACGTCAAAGACCTGGGAGTGATCATGTCGGAGGATCTCACCTTCAAGGACCATAACATTGTATCAATCGCATCTGCTAGAAAAATGACAGGATGGATAATGAGAACCTTCAAAACTATGGGAGGCCAAGCCCATGATGACACTCTTCAGGTCACTTGTTCTATCTAGGCTGGAATATTGCTGCACACTAACAGCACCTTTCAAGGCAGGTGAAATTGCCGACCTAGAAAATGTACAGAGAACTTATCGGCGCGCATAACGGAGATAAAACACCTCAATTACTGGGAGCGCTTGAGGTTCCTAAACCTGTATTCCCTGGAACGCAGGAGGAGAGATACATGATTATATACACCTGGAAAATCCTAGAGGGACTAGTACCGAACTTACACACGAAAATCACTCACTACGAAAGCAAAAGACTTGGCAGACGATGCACCATCCCCCCAATGAAAAGCAGGGGTGTCACTAGCACGTTAAGAGACCATACAATAAGTGTCAGGGGCCCGAGACTGTTCAACTGCCTCCCAGCACACATAAGGGGGATTACCAACAGACCCCTTTCAGTCTTCAAGCTGGCACTGGACAAGCACCTAAAGTCAGTTCCTGATCAGCCGGGCTGTGGCTCGTACGTTGGTTTGCGTGCAGCCAGCAGCAACAGCCTGGTTGATCAGGCGCTGATCCACCAGGAGGCCTGGTCACAGACCGGGCCGCGGGGGCATTGACCTCCGAAACTCTCTCCAGGTAAACTCCAGGTAAACACCCAAAAATATTAACAAGGCAATTTTTATAGAGAACAACTATAGTGTTGCAGCTCTTCAGTGGTAAGTACATTCATTGCTTACCTTAAAATATTTGTAGTCTTAATGTAGGGCAAGAGACAGGTAGTATGTATTTATTTGTAGTCCCAGGTGAAGCTAGTCTGCCTAGGCTATACCTTATAGCTACATACACTGCAGCCCACAGCCATATTATTACCATCGACATACCATGTTCACCGAGTTTAATCGTTTCCGACAACTACCTTTAGATGCCATCATAAACGAAGGGAAAAGTAATGAAAAATTCATGCCGAGAACTGTAAACAAATGCGTATTAAGGGCAGAGACTGGGCCAGACACAGATTCACAGTTTTCTCTAACGCTGGACCAGAGAACACGTAATGTTTACCCTTCACCGACCCCACCCCTCGATAGCATATAAATATTGCACGTTTATATGCTAAGTAACGTGTTTCTTATACAGTGTAATTTTGAAGAAAATATCATAGATGGATTAATGAAAATGTTTATATTAACCTAAAATAAGACATTTAATGTGCCCAAGAGTGAGTCACGAGCGCATGAGCGGCCCAGGTGCATGCATCTGTTACCAATGATTTCCAAGTGGATGTACGAAACCCAGGGGAAGTTTTGCCAAAAAAAGTGCTCATAATCTGAAGTGTACGATTTCTGCACTGGCTGAAAATTGGGGGTCCACTGTACAGCTATTTACAAGTTGTGTGGGTATATTTTAATTGGTATGTAGGCATTTACAAATTACTATTACTACATTCATGGGAGAGCACTAAACCCATACAGGTCACAATGCCTCAGGAAATAGAAGGCATTCAGGCTTGACTCAAGAACTGGAGCACTGGTCTAAATCCTTAGATCTAGAGCCTATCACTAACATCAAGAAACCTATGAGGGGCATTTACAAGTTAATAAGTGCGCAGGCCATTTACTAAATGGGAAGTGCGGAGGTTTTTTTTTTTTTCTTTTTAACACCGGTCATACCCCACTGGGGAAGAGTGACCTGAAAAGAAAATCGAAAGTTTCTTTTTAAATTTAGTTATTTATCCAGAAGAAGGGGTTGCTAGCCCCTTCCAGCATTTTAGTTGCCTCTTACAACATGCATGGCTTACGGAGGAATTCTTTTCCACTTCTCCCATGGAGATAAGAGGAAATAAAAAATAACAAGAACTATTAAGAAAATAGAAGAAAACCCAGATGGCTGTGTATATAAATGTATATGCATATACATGTATGTGTAGTGTGACCTAAGTGAAGTAGAAGTAGCAAGACATACCTGTTATCCAAAGTGTTTATGAGAAAAAAAAAAGACACCAGCAATCCTGCCATCATATAAAACAATTACAGGTTTATGTTTCACACTCACTTGGCAGGATGGTAGTACTGAAGGCCATGTACAAGTTGATAAAGTAGAGGTGTGCTATCAGTACTAGCGTAATTACCTCCGCTATTACTGCTCAACATGAGAATTAAAGCTATCCTCAATTTTACCAGTGCAGTAGCTGACCTCATTTATATTGACATAATATTGGAGAAAAGTAGAAAGCAACCACTCAAAAAAAAGACCTTAGCCACACTAACATACTTACAAAAGACCATTGCCATCATCCCAGAAGTAATACTTGAGGTGCTGATTCTTGAGGTTGATCACAGAAGCATCTCCTCGCTTAATGATTTTGTCCCACAGCACCACCTAAAAAATTGTCAGTACTGTCAAGTATTTCCTTAAGAAAAAGATAATGATTTACATCACTCCATCAGATCCATGAACAAGAAGCATAATTCACAAATATTTTACCTTGCACTATTTTTACCTTTATTGCCATGGAGCAATAATGTGACTTGAACAGTTTTTGTACTATTATGAATATTTCACTGGACACTATTATTTTATATTCATGGTAAAACCTGTAGGGGTAAGTTAAAAAACCAGTAAGTGGATAATTAAGTCATGTTCAACAGTTAAGCAACCTTATTCCGAAACATTTCGCCTATACAGTAGGCTTCAGTCGAATACAGATGTGGCAGAAGACTTAAAAAACCTACAGTGTTGGCAAAACATTTTGGAATAAATATACCTAACTGCTGCAGGAGTTTTAATTATCAACTTATTGGTATTGTATAACATTATCACATTCACAAACCAGCAAGTGCACTGACCTGGTTAATCTTGTTGTTAGGCGTCTCATACTCAGCAGTGAGGTAGAGGAACAGCTGCTTGGTGTTCCAGTTGAAAAGTGGGGTCAAGTCTGAAGACAGGTCAAAGCGGAGAGCACCCAGGTCATTCTTCTCCCTTGACACTGCATACTCGGGTACATTTTTCCTGGAAATATATCAGGAACTTCAAACTACCTGTAATACTCTTTTTTTTTTTTTTTTTTTTGGTTATCCTAGGTAATTTACGCTATGTATGATAATTGTACTTATGTGTACCTGTGTACTTGCTTACTTAGGAACAGCAGGTGTAAGGAAACAGGCCCAATGTTTCAACCTGTGCTGGTGATTGAACCATGGATACTTTGTGAGCTGAGTGAGCTATCAACCAAGCCACAGGTACCTGGTTTGACCTTTGAGCACAATGCCCACCCTGAGGGACCTGAAGCCCCAACAAAGCTACAACAACCTGTAATTCTCCACTAAGTACTTAAAAGAGGCCACCATCTGGAGGTCTATCTAAAGATAAAAGATTTAAGCAGTGGACAAACTATGGCAGCCTTCAACATATGTTCCTTTATATTTTCATATCCATTCTGCAATATGGAGACCAGAACTGTGCTGCTTAACTTAAACAAGACTAATAATAAGCAGAGCTGTGGAATAACCTTAGCAATCCTATATTTACTGATATAAATACAAGTAATGTGTAATTATTATTACAAATGCTTTAACTTCATATTTCTGCTTAGTGTAACTTGAACTCTACACGTTCTATATCATCACGTGCTCACGTTACATTTACAGGTAATGTAGGGGAGAGGTAAACCAAATAGGGGATTATACAGCTCCTGTGGGAAATGGAAGGCAAGTTTATTTAGGTACTGGCACACATAAGTATAATTATCATATGTAACACAGCCTCTCCTCACTTAGCGACTTACTCGTTTACCAACGACTTGGACTTACGACGGGCTCTCCGACCAGTATGCATACCTAAATCATATATATTAAAGCCGATTTCCTCTTCTGTTTAATACAATATACAGTACACTACTGTAAAAACATTTAAAAATATACCAGAAATATTATAAATGATGCAAAGGTAACAATTAAACAATATCAAAGATGGTCGACACAAACCCACTACCATTATAATATGCTCCTCACTTAGTGACGAATTCATTTACCAACGTGGTCTTGGGAACTGAACTCCATTGTTAAGTGAGGAGAGGCTGTAACATTTGTAAATTACCTACGATAACCCCCTTAAAAAAGTCAAAGCGACTTATTTCCATTGAGGTCCTTGTAATATATCATTATTTAAAATGTAGCTCAGACTGGACCATGGGGGCACTGACCCCCCCGACCCCCTCAAGGTATACAGTGTTATTACAATCAAAACAAAGAGCTAAACCCATATCGGTCATCCAGGTAAGATACAGTAGAAATCAGACACGATAATAACCTTAATAATAAAGATAATAGATAAAAAGATAATAAAGATAATAGATAATAAATAATAAAGATAATAAAGATAATAGATAATAAATAATAAAGATAATAAAGATAATAGATAATAAATAATAAAGATAATAAAGATAATAGATAATAAATAATAAAGATAAAGATAATAGATAATAAATAATAAAGATAATAAAGAAAATAAAGATTATAAACAAAGATAAAAATAAACATAATAAAGATAAAAATACGTAATACAAATTTATTTTCAGCATTATACGAGCAACTTATTTTACATATACTAATAAAATATTTTTAGGGACGAAAGTGACTAGCTCCAGTTCCCCGGATTAAGAGCCCTGGACCGACACCATCCTGGAAGAGAGAAGATATTAAAACTACTCACAGAACAATATTAGCGGCAGTAATGGTGACAGGAGCCTTGTAATTAATGAAGAAAGTTGAGGCGAAGCAGAGGAAGGTGAGAGCCGCCAGGGTACTCAGACTGAAGGCGCTGACGGCGTTAACACGAGACAGGAAGGTATGCATCTCTGTCAGCGGGAGGATACTGTCAGCGGGAGGATACCGTCAGCAGGAGGACACCGTCAGCAGGACACCGTCAGCAGGAGGACACCGTCAGCAGGAGGATACTGTCAGCGGGAGGATACCGTCAGCAGGAGGATACCGTCAGCAGGAGGATACCGTCAGCAGGAGGATACTGTCAGCGGGAGGACACCATCAGCAGGAGGACACCATCAACAGGACACCATCAGCAGGAGGACACCATCAGCAGGAGGATACTGTCAGCAGGAGGATACTGTCAGCAGGAGGATACTGTCAGCTGGAGGATACTGTCAGCTGGAGGACACCGTCAGCAGGGACTACTAGAAGACAGCAGGACACCGTAAGGAGGTACTCTACTGCTGAAGAACACCGTCAGGATGGACACTACTACTGCAGGATGTCAGCAGAACACCGTCAGGATGGACACTACTACTGCAGGATGTCAGCAGAACACCGTCAGGAGGGGACACTACTACTGCAGGATGTCAGCAGAACACCGTCAGGATGGACACTACTACTGCAGGATGTCAGCAGAACATCGTCAGGATGGACACTACTACTGCAGGATGTCAGCAGAACACCGTCAGGATGGACACTACTACTGCAGGATGTCAGCAGAATACCGTCAGGATGGACACTACTACTGCAGGATGTCAGCAGAACACCGTCAGGATGGACACTACTACTGCAGGATGTCAGCAGAACACCGTCAGGATGGACACTACTACTGCAGGATGTCAGCAGAACACCGTCAGGATGGACATACTACTGCAGGATGTCAGCAGAACACCGTCGGGATGGACACTACTACTGCAGGATGTCAGCAGAACACCGTCAGGATGGACACTACTACTGCAGGATGTCAGAAGAACACCGTCAGGATGGACACTACTACTGCAGGATGTCAGAAGAACACCGTCAGGATGGACACTACTACTGCAGGATGTCAGCAGAACACCGTCAGGATGGACACTACTACTGCAGGATGTCAGAAGAACACCGTCAGGATGGACACTACTACTGCAGGATGTCAGCAGAACACCGTCAGGATGGACACTACTACTGCAGGATGTCAGCAGAACACCGTCAGGATGGACACTACTACTGCAGGATGTCAGCAGAACACCGTCAGGATGGACACTACTACTGCAGGATGTCAGCAGAACACCGTCAGGATGGACACTACTACTGCAGGATGTCAGCAGAACACCGTCAGGATGGACACTACTACTGCAGGATGTCAGCAGAACACCGTCAGGATGGACACTACTACTGGAGGAGGATAAGATGGTGTTACAGCTGGTGTTACAGGTGGTAGTAAGCTGGAGCAACACTGCTACTACTACACGTCAGTCTTGTTGACTGTCAGCTGCTGACACCTGGCGGCTGACTCTCCTCACTCACACATACCCGCCAACTTTAAATATATCAGAACATATGAAGGAGCACTACTGGAGGCTTACTGGCCCATGATAGGCAGGTCCAAGTCACATGCACTAGCAATACTAGCTGGTTGGTAACGCACTCAGTTCACACACTGAGGTTCGGGGTTCGATCCCCGGTACGGGTGGAAACATTAGGACGTGTTTCCTGAACACAACTGCTGTCCCTGTTCACCTACCAGTAAAATAGGTACCTGGGTGATACTCAACTGGTGTGGGTCGCATCCTGGGGACAAAATTGACTTAATTTGCCCAAAATGCAGTGCATAACAAGGGGCTTTTATATAATAGTAGGTCATTTATGTTAGGCCTTTATACTTGTACATGTACCTGCTGAAATAAAAATTACTAATATTATTAGTAGTAGTAAAAGCTAGTTAAGTCCAACTCACACCCACTCATGTTTTTGTCTGACCAATTTTTAAAATTACACAAGATTTTCAGCTTCAATGACAGTATTGGGGAGTTTGTTCCTCTTATCTACAACTCTATTACCAAACCATTGCTTTCCTATATCCCTTTTAAATATATTTTTTTCAACTTAAAATCATTGCTGCGAGTCCTGTCTTGGTTAGATATTTTTAGCACGTTATTTACAATCTCTATTAGTCCGAGTAGATCTATAACCCACTATGATAACATGATGTTGTAGTGGCCAGGCTTAAGCTTGGTTACAAGCACTGACTGATGTTGTAGTGGCCAGGCTTAAGCTTGGTTACAAGTACTGACTGATGTTGTAGTGGCCAGGCTTAAGCTTGGTTACAAGTACTGACTGATGTTGTAGTGGCCAGGCTTAAGCTTGGTTACAAGTACTGACTGATGTTGTAGTGGCCAGGCTTAAGCTTGGTTACAAGTACTGACTGATGTTGTAGTGGCCAGGCTTAAGCTTGGTTACAAGTACTGACTGATGTTGTAATGGCCAGGCTTAAGCTTGGTTACAAATACTGACTGATGTTGTAGTGGCCAGGCTTAAGCTTGGTTACAAGTACTGACTGATGTTGTAGTGGCCAGGCTTAAGCTTGGTTACAAGTACTGACTGATGTTGTAGTGGCCAGGCTTAGGCTTGGTTACAAGTACTGACTGATGTTGTAGTGGCCAGGCTTAAGCTTGGTTACAAGTACTGACTGATGTTGTAGTGGCCAGGCTTAGGCTTGGTTACAAGCACTGACTGGTGTTGTAGTGGCCAGGCTTAGGCTTGGTTACAAGTACTGACTGATGTTGTAGTGGCCAGGCTTAAGCTTGGTTACAAGTACTGACTGATGTTGTAGTGGCCAGGCTTAAGCTTGGTTACAAGTACTGACTGATGTTGTAGTGGCCAGGCTTAAGCTTGGTTACAAGTACTGCCTGATGTTGTAGTGGCCAGGCTTAGGCTTGGTTACAAGTACTGACTGATGTTGTAGTGGCCAGGCTTAGGCTTGGTTACAAGTACTGACTGATGTTGTAGTGGCCAGGCTTAGACTTGGTTACAAGTACTGACTGGTGTTGTAGTGGCCAGGCTTAAGCTTGGTTACAAGTACTGACTGATGTTGTAGTGGCCAGGCTTAGGCTTGGTTATAAGTACTGACTGATGTTGTAGTGGCCAGGCTTAGGCTTGGTTACAAGTACTTCTGGCAGTTTGAGAGACACACAGATGATGATCAAACTAATGCAAATTATGTGATCAGACATATGGTCACTGTCTTGAACACTATGTGCTTAATTGTCCACCTATTGAGGAATACAGAGACAGACAATTTAATAACCTATGTGACATGAGACAGGCGCTCCCTTTACAGGCGACGGAAAAGAATAACAGAGCGGCTAAAAGAGGTCAATATATCTGAAATGCGTAGGGAGACACTGGTCAGAGAAATAGCAAGCATCGAACTTAAGCTAAAAGAATCCTTTAGGAGTCAGGAATCGCGGGAAGAACTAAAAGCCATAAATGAAATCGAAAGAAACCCAAAGTATTTCTTCTCCTATGCCAAATCAAAATCGAGAACAACGTCCAGTATTGGGCCCCTACTTAAACAAGATGGGTCCTACACAGATGACAACAAGGAAATGAGTGAGCTACTCAAGTCCCAATATGACTCAGTTTTTAGCAAGCCGCTAACCAGACTGAGAGTCGAAGATCAAAATGAATTTTTTATGAGAGAGCCACAAAAATTTGATTAACACAAGCCTATCCAATGTTATCCTGACGCCAAATGATTCGAACAGGCGATAAATGACATGCCCATGCACTCTGCCCCAGGGCCAGACTCATGGAACTCTGTGTTCATCAAGAACTGCAAGAAGCCCCTATCACGAGCCTTTTCCATCCTATGGAGAGGGAGCATGGACACGGGGGTCGTCCCACAGTTACTAAAAACAACAGACATAGCCCCACTCCACAAAGGGGGCAGTAAAGCAACAGCAAAGAACTACAGACCAATAGCACTAACATCCCATATCATAAAAATCTTTGAAAGGGTCCTAAGAAGCAAGATCACCACGCATCTAGAAACCCATCAGTTACACAACCCAGGGCAACATGGGTTTAGAACAGGTCGCTCCTGTCTGTCTCAACTATTGGACCACTACGACAAGGTCCTAAATGCACTAGAAGACAAAAAGAATGCAGATGTAATATATACAGACTTTGCAAAAGCCTTCGACAAGTGTGACCATGGCGTAATAGCGCACAAAATGCGTGCTAAAGGAATAACAGGAAAGTCGGTCGATGGATCTATATTTCCTCACTAACAGAACAGAGAGTAGTCGTCAACAGAGTAAAGTCCGAGGCAGCTACGGTGAAAAGCTCTGTTCCACAAGGCACAGTACTAGCTCCCATCTTGTTCCTCATCCTCATATCCGACATAGACAAGGATGTCAGCCACAGCACCGTGTCTTCCTTTGCAGATGACACCCGAATCTGCATGACAGTGTCTTCCATTGCAGACACTGCAAAGCTCCAGGCAGACATCAACCAAATCTTTCAGTGGGCTGCAGAAAACAATATGAAGTTCAACGATGAGAAATTTCAATTACTCAGATATGGTAAACATGAGGAAATTAAATCTTCATCAGAGTACAAAACAAATTCTGGCCACAAAATAGAGCGAAACACCAACGTCAAAGACCTGGGAGTGATCATGTCGGAGGATCTCACCTTCAAGGACCATAACATTGTATCAATCGCATCTGCTAGAAAAATGACAGGATGGATAATGAAACCTTCAAAACTAGGGAGGCCAAGCCCATGATGACACTCTTCAGGTCACTTGTTCTATCTAGGCTGGAATATTGCTGCACACTAACAGCACCTTTCAAGGCAGGTGAAATTGCCGACCTAGAAAATGTACAGAGAACTTTCACGGCGCGCATAACGGAGATAAAACACCTCAATTATTGGGAGCGCTTGAGGTTCCTAAACCTGTATTCCCTGGAACGCAGGAGGAGAGATACATGATTATATACACCTGGAAAATCCTAGAGGGACTAGTACCGAACTTGCACACGAAAATCACCCACTACGAAAGCAAAAGACTTGGCAGACGATGCACCATCCCCCCAATGAAAAGCAGGGGTGTCACTAGCACGTTAAGAGACCATACAATAAGTGTCAGGGGCCCGAGACTGTTCAACTGCCTCCCAGCACACATAAGGGGGATTACCAACAGACCCCTGGCAGTCTTCAAGCTGGCACTGGACAAGCACCTAAAGTCAGTTCCGGATCAGCCGGGCTGTGGCTCGTATGTTGGTTTGCGTGCAGCCAGCAGCAACAGCCTGGTTGATCAGGCTCTGATCCACCAGGAGGCCTGGTCTCAGACCGGGCCGCGGGGGCGTTGACCCCCGGAACTCTCTCCAGGTAAACTCCAGGTAAACATGTCAAGATATCTTACTAATGAAAATAAGATACCAGATATACCAAGCAAATTTCCTAAATTTGCCTGTAACAGATAAGTGAACTGTAGATATAAATCCAAATGTACACCTGTTAACCCTTTTTGGGGCCTAGTTCCTAGGCCTTTTGTGTGTATCCATATGCTCTCGTGCTACCATCCACAGGATAGATATGGGGTGCACAATAAACTAGCCACTTCAGTGGCAAAATCTAATCTATCTATTCCTTTATTTTCCATTTATACACCTCGATCATATCCCCCTAATTCTACGCCTTTCCAGAGAGTGCA